ATAATTTGTAATATAAATATGCAGTAGTCTTGGAATGTAACTTAAAGTTTCTTGCATTACCCATTCTTTAAAATTAAAGTCCCTTCAAAGAGAACAAAATAAAACAGCAAAATTAAAAGGATAATTAATAAATAAACAATGTCATTAATAATCCAAGCATAATTCTCTGATTAAGTTGAATTTTATAAATTATGGAGAACAATTATTAAAATAGGTTGTTAAAATGCAACATAAATGCAAATACAGGAATAAGTTATCATTTTTAAAATGACATTTTAAATATTTTATTTACTCATATTTTTTTCTGTAAAATCTTTTTGATTATAATTATTAACTAAAACAAATCCAATGGTCAACACAAAAAAGAAATTCAATAAGAATTATGCATAATTTTAAATTGAAAGGTTATTCAATATCTAATTGATTATATCTATTAATAATTGCAGTAAAGAATAAAATCTATTTTCAACTAATTCTAATTTCATTCTTTTAAGCCTCTTATTCAAATCAATTTGACAAGGGTACATGACAAACATTAATGAAAATAATCGTCCAAGAGCATTAAAAGCTGGAATTTAAGTAAATTTGGAGTGGAATTCAAAGTATCCAATTTGAATACAAAATATTTCAATAGATTAAGCAATCATTTAAATTAATAATCAATTTTATTCCAACATTAGCAAAATTTTCATAATTATTTATCAATAAATTAAATATTAAGCCTAATAGTTGTTAAACAAAGCTATTCTTTTACTGAGATTGATTGAAAATAATTTCACAATAGAAGACAGCAAAAGAGAAAATGAAGTAGAAATTTTCTTCAATCCAAATTTTTTTCAATTATTAATCAACATTTATTACTTAAATAAGTAATTAAATGTACCCTTTTTATAAATCTATTATTATAACCTTTAAACAGGTTGTTTGCTTAATCTTTTGTAAATTTATATATCTAGACAAGTATTCTAAAAGAAAGTACAATTTTATTGTGACCAGATCAATATTAAAATAAAGCTTAAAAATATAAAATTATTTTGATTTGCTTAATTGCCAAGTTTGACCTGAATTAATGAAAATTTAATACTTTATTAAATTTGTCCATTTTAAGAAACAAAAAGCTTAAACTGTAAAAACTAAATATTTTATAGATTATATCTGTTATAAACTTCCAATAAATAATATAGTAGGAAAAAGATTGTCAAGAAATAAGAAAATATAAATAGTAAAATCTTCTTCCTACCTTAGAAATATTTTAGAATGAATGAAAATAATTTTTACTTATTGATGAAATTTAATTTAAAGCATTTCAATAGAAATATTTTATAAAATTAATTTATTGAAATAAAACTTGGACTTAGAATATAATTGATATTTAGAATAGATAAATAAAAGAAAAACATAAAATAGCAGAAATATTCTACTAACGATATTAATAATCTCCTTGAAAATTGAATTGAATCTATAAAGATTAAAGTTTATCAAATTTTATATTTGATATTTAATATTTAATTAAAATGATAATTAATTAATTCATATTCAAACATAATCAAATTAATTCTTTACTAGTAACAATCCTTCTTAATTCTCTTTCAAAATGATCATTTAAGAAAATTGTTTCTAATGGGAAAATTAATGAGATCATTTTTGCTCTATTAAGATTCAATCTAAATTTTTTGTAAACTGAAAATTAAATAGTAATTATCAATACTATTGTATAAGTCAAACTTATAGCAGTAATTATCTATTTAATAATATAATTATAAATACATTATATAATTCCTCAATAATTTTAGTTTATGATTTTATATCTTATTCCATTTTATTAGTAATTTCATTAATAATATCTGAACATAAATAAACTGCTTCTAATTCTTCTTTTGGAGGTTGTTTGCGAGTACTTGGAAAATTTATACTTAACTCATTTTTTAATATGCTATTAAAATTTGTTAATGATGCTCTTAAACCCAATTTCAAAATTCCATTCTAAGAATTTGAACAAAAATAATCAAAATCATAATACTTTGAACTATTAAGTAATGGACATAAATTATTTTCTTCTAAATACTCATAAGTATCCAAAAATTATGCAGAAAATTGTAATTATGAACTTTCAATATCTTATAATAAGAAAGTATCAATTTTTGTGACTGCTTTTTATATTTATTCTACAAAAAATGCTCTATCATCATTTGTATAATAAGTAAATTGAAAAAAAAAATATAATATTTCTTTTTAAGAAAATGAAGCAGGGACATAAACTCCAATGTCTGAGATTGATTTAAAAAAGTGAATAGATTTAGAAAATTTATTCATATATTCAAACCCTATATAGGTTAAAAGTCCAGCAATTAATAAATATTGGATTAGCAAGAAAAAAAAAGAAAAAATCAGAGAGAATTTAGAAATTTGAATAGATTATCTTATTTCTTTAGGTTCATTACCCTAAATTTTCAACCCCTTTTTTATTTCTTTTATTTTTGTTTTTTCTAATATTTCTTCCTTTCCAATTAAATTGAATTTGTATAAATGTATTAATTCTGATCCTTGTTTTAAGCTTTAAAGAATAAATAATTGCCTTCCTTAATCTGCATTAAGCTCTATTTAATCTATGTGAATATTAAGATTAAAAATTTTTTCTAAATAATGATTAAATTAGTTATAATAATATCCAAGTAGTAATATAGAGATTAGCACTGATATTGATATTGGAATAACCATTATTATCCATTTTTTAAGAACCAAATCAATCTTATAAATAGACTCTTAAAACATTAAATCAGATATTTTATCAAAAACTGTCACAAATAAAATATAGTTCTTGTATTAATATGTGTTATGAGGATTAGTTCCTCTAGCTGTTTAAGGTACAATGTAAATCTATTTTTACTTATAAAAGGCGTCAAGTAAAATGCTAAAAGCATTATAGAGTGTTATATTGTATTCCTTCAATTTTATCGGAGCATAATGAGAAGTTTACTATTATATATTAACATATTCATCTTTGATAAATTCTGATAATTCTTCATCCTAAAAATGATCTTAAAAGTGCTATTTAAATTCATCATAAGATCCAATTAATAACGGATTGGTGAATTTTAAATAATAATTAAGCTGATCTCTACTTATTGCTTAATTAAAGTTCAGCATTTAGTAACCTTAAATCGTATAACGAGTTAAAAAAAATTTTTACATCGGCCCAATAAATTAATGATTAATTTATATCGAATCATAGTAATAATTGAGAGAATAAAAATCTTTTTTTGAAAAAGCCATATTCTAAAATAAAATAAATAATTACTATTGATATAAATATGATTTAATTTATAAGAGCAAAAATTAAAGATCCAAATAATTTGTTTAATAAAGGTATAACAGGAGTAAAATTATTTAATTTGTTAACAAGTGTGTATTTTCTATAATAAACTGATTTCATTAGCCCAGACGTTGAAAAGATTTGTGGGCATTTCAAATCAATATTATCTGAATTGTTTAAATTATGATCATAAATATCCCCCAAAATTTGTACTGTTTTTTTGTCAAAATTAATAATATTAGATTCACTATAATTATATAAATTTACTTTCCATTCATTTCCTAACTAAAATTTTTTATCTCCTGCTTCATTTAAAATTCTAATGTCTGCTTATCTAGGAGTTTGAATAATGATATGAGAAATGAAATCATTCTGAATAAAAAATTCATAAGGATGATCAATTAATGCCTCATTATTAATTTGTAAGTCTTTATTTAAAGGTACAAGTGTGTCAACTGAAATCACCAGATTTTTTCGTTTATTTTCTTATATTTTCTTAAACTTTATAATTTTGTATGTTTTTCTTTTTGCTATTTCACAACTTACTTCATATAATTATAACTTTTAACTATTTTTTAAATATGTTTATTTTTATGCATTCGTTGAAAATTCTTATTAGAAAAATGAATCTTTAGGAAAGTGAAATTAAAAAGAACATAAATTTTAAGTTCCATTTAATATATCATTAGGAATAAATAAATCTGCTTACAAATTATAAAGAGATTTTTCTATTGATAATTAATCAATTATTTAAGGATGGAAATTCAATTACTTGAATAATTCTTTATTTATTCCTTAAATCTTATTATTTTAATCAATCAATATTACTGGGTCTGATTATTCTTAAAAGTTTAGAAATGTAATGAAACGAAAAGATTGATTATTATCAAAATAAAGATCAAAAAAAAATTCAACATCTTAAATAAATCCTGAATTAAGTTAACAAATGTTAAAGGCTACTTATCTAAAATAATTTGCTTTTCCATTTTATAAAAACTCTTCAATATATTGATCATGTATATCTCTTATTATTTATGGAATTAAAGGATAAGGAGAAATAATTAAATCAAATTATTTTTATTAATAACCAAATATAATTGGAGTTTATTTAGAATAAGAAATAATTTTAAGTTTTCTATCATCATAAGAATATATCAAGTAAGCCATTTTATTAGCTAATCTATTAAAATCAATATCTGTAATAATACTTAATGAAGAATTTTCAATAGCATTTATTTATAATTAATCAAATGCCTTTTTCCAGTCATATTTTATTTCAGCATAAAAGAACATTAATTGAGATTAATTTCTTTAACTAGGAAATTAATCATAAATTGATTTCAGTATTTTTTCTTGAATTTCAATATTTTCAATCAAATTATAATACTAAAAAATAAAATCAATTTTCCTATATTATTTAACCATAAGCTATTAAAGAAGTAATTTTTCTTGAATGATATTAATCAAACCATCTTTAATACTTTAATTAAAACTTTCAGATTATATAAATTAATTTATTTTTAAGGATAACTTTATTTTGTCTTAATTTTTTCCATCTAATTTAGCCGTCAAATTAATATATAAATTCCGTTTAATCATCATAATAAAGAATTTCCATTTGATTTTTTAGAAATAAGTTAGACTATTTAAAATTTATTTATTTTCTACTTAACTATATATTTCATAAACTTCTCCATGATATTATTAAGCATATAAGAAATGAACTAAATAGTAAAAACAATCTTTTGGGTCTTGAATTTAAAGCAATTTTTTCATTCTAACAACCAATTTTGAATAAAGCTCTTCCTTAATGATATCTGGAATTACAAACATTTTATTTGTATTACTTGAGTTTTATTCATAAGTTCTACACAAGCATCCAATATTTTAACATTCTTAAGAATGCTTAGATAAATATATGGAATTTAAAATACAAGTTTATTTTAATGTTAATTTTTCATTCGTCAAAGATGAACATATCAAATAATTCACTTCAAATAAATTTAATTTTTAATAATTCGCAGTTAACAATTAAAATTTTTGCTGATTATGTACATAAACACCAACATATATTAAAAAAGGGGATAAAAGTATCAAATATATCATTGGTTCAGAAATTTAAGTTAGAGAGCTTATAGCAATAATTAAACCACATGATTCAGTAATTAATGAAATCAAAATTTAATTATTGTTAGAATAAGCTCTATATATATATATTTAAATAAGTTCTAAGAAAGTAATTATCAAAAATATGATTGATTGACCATAGATTGCAAAATTGAGAGGACTAAATATAAAAATATAAGGCTGTATAATTTGTAATATAAATATGCAGTAGTCTTGGAATGTAACTTAAAGTTTCTTGCATTACCCATTCTTTAAAATTAAAGTCCCTTCAAAGAGAACAAAATAAAACAGCAAAATTAAAAGGATAATTAATAAATAAACAATGTCATTAATAATCCAAGCATAATTCTCTGATTAAGTTGAATTTTATAAATTATGGAGAACAATTATTAAAATAGGTTGTTAAAATGCAACATAAATGCAAATACAGGAATAAGTTATCATTTTTAAAATGACATTTTAAATATTTTATTTACTCATATTTTTTTCTGTAAAATCTTTTTGATTATAATTATTAACTAAAACAAATCCAATGGTCAACACAAAAAAGAAATTCAATAAGAATTATGCATAATTTTAAATTGAAGGGTTATTCAATATCTAATTGATTATATCTATTAATAATTGCAGTAAAGAATAAAATCTATTTTCAACTAATTCTAATTTCATTCTTTTAAGCCTCTTATTCAAATCAATTTGACAAGGGTACATGACTAACATTAATGAAAATAATCGTCCAAGAGCATTAAAAGCTGGAATTTAAGTAAATTTGGAGTGCAATTCAAAGTATCCAATTTGAATACAAAATATTTCAATAGATTAAGCAATCATTTAAATTAATAATCAATTTTATTCCAACATTAGCAAAATTTTCATAATTATTTATCAATAAATTAAATATTAAGCCTAATAGTTGTTAAACAAAGCTATTCTTTTACTTAGATAGAGTTAAAATATCAAAAGAGAAAATGAAATAAATATTTTTTTCAATCCAAATTTATTTCAATTATTAATCAACATTTATTTCTTTAATAATTAAATAATTATACTTTACAAAGGAAATTTGCTTAATATTTTGCAAATAGGTATAAGCCTCAACACGTATTGCAAACAAATACAATTTTATTTTGATATTGCCCAAATAAATTTAAATATAGCTTAACAAAGCTTTAACACAATAAATTATTAAAATTAAATAAGTAATAAACTGCGAATAATTGAAATAGAAGAAAAATTATTTTCATGAAATAAATAATTTTAATAATAAAGGACCCATTCAACCTAATAAAGTTACTAATAATAATAATCAAAAAATGAGTTTATAATTTAAGAATTAGTGAAAATAATTTTCGTTTATTAATGAAAATTTATTTTAAAGCATTTTAATAAATAAATTTCATAAATTTATAATATTGTAAAAAACTTTGCCTTTATTTATATATCAATAAGGAAAATTCTAAAATAAAAAGAACAATTATTATTTATAATAAATAAAAAGAAAAAAAGAAATTATAGATATATTATTGTCAATATATATAATTAATATGAAAAATTGAATTGAATCTATAAAGATTAAAGATTATCCAATTTAATATTTGATATAATTATATCGAAATATAATCAAATTAATTTTTCACTAGTAACCATTCTTCTTAATTCTCTTTCAAAATGATCATTTAAGAAAATTGTTTCTAATGGGAAAATTAATGAGATCATTTTTGTTCTATTAAGATTCAATCTAAATTTTTTGTAAACTGAAAATTAAATAGTAATTATCAATACTATTGTATAAGTCAAACTTATAGCAGTAATTATCTATTAATAATATAATTATAAATACATTATATAATTCCTCAATAATTTAAGTTTATGATTTAATATCTTATTCCATTTTATTAGTAATTTCAGTAATAATATCTGAACATAAATAAACTGCTTCTAATTCTTCTTTTGGAGGTTATTTGCGAGTACTTGGGAAATTTATACTTAATTCATTTTTTAATATGCTATTAAAATTTGTTAATGATGCTCTTAAACCCAATTTCAAAATTCCATTCTAAGAATTCGAACAAAAATAATCAAAATCATAATACTTTGAACTATTAAGTAATGGACATAAATTATTTTCTTCTAAATACTCATAAGTATCCAAAAATTATGCAGAAAATTGTAATTATGAACTTTCAATATCTTATAATAAGAAAGTATCAATTTTTGTGACTGCTTTTTATATTTATTCTACAAAAAATGCTCTATCATCATTTGTATAATAAGGGAAATAAGAAAAAAAATATAATATTTCTTTTTGAGAAAATGATGCAGGAACATAAACTCCTATATCTGAAATTGATTTAAAAAAGTGAATAGTCTTAGAAAATTTACTCATATATACACTTCCTACATAAGTTAAGGATCCACATATCAATAAATATTGCACCAGTAACGCTAAAACACAACAAATTAAAGGTATTGTTGATATTTTTACTGAAAATTTAATCGCCCTTGATTCTTGTCCTGCATTTTTTAATTCTTTTTGCATTTCTTTTGTCTTATGTTTTGTTAATAATTCTTCCTTTCCAACCAAATTAAATTTGTACATATGAATTAATTCTGATCCTTGTTTTAAACTCTAAAAAATAAACTACTGCCTTTTTTAATCTAGATCAAGATCTATTTAAGCAATATGCTAGTTAAGATTAAAAAACTTTTCTAACAAGTGATTAAATAAGTTATAGTAATACGCTAGTAACAATAAAGAAAATATTAATAAAAAGGAAATTGGAATAACCATTATGATCCATCTCTTTACAACTAATTCAATTTAAAAAATAGATTCTATGTACATTTAATCAGAAATATTGTCAAATATTGTTACAAATATGACATAATTTTTGTATTAATAAGTAGTGTGAGGATTAGCACCTTATTAAGGCACTGGATTAATGTAACTTTACTTTAATTTATAAAATGAATCAAGCAAGATGCTAAAAGCAGTAAACAAAGTTACATTGTACTCTTTTAATTATACTGGAAGTTAATGATAACTTTATTGCGAAATTAAAACATATTAATTTCGAATAAATTCTAATAGTTTTTCATCCTTAAAATGTTCTTAAAAGTTTTTTTTATATTCATCATACGATTCAGTTATTAAAGGGTTTATGAATTTCAAATGATAGTTTAATTGATCTTGACTTATTGCTTAACTTAGACTAAGAAATTAATAATCAATTAGCATATATCTAGCCAAGAAAAATATTTACATAGGCTCAATAAAATAATGATTAATTTAGATTGATTCATAGTAATAATTGAGAGAATAAAAATCTTTTTTTGAGAAAGACATATTCTAAAATAAAATAAATAATTACTATTGATATAAATATGATTTAATTTATGAGTGCAAAAGCAAAAAATCCAAATAATTTGTTTAATAAAGGGATAAATGTGGTAAAATTATTTAATTAATTAATAAGAGTATATTTTCGATAATAAACTGATTTTCTTAAACCAGCCATTGAAGATGCTTGTGAACCTTCGAAAACAATATTATCTTAATTGATTTAATCATGATCATAAACATTTCCTAATATTTACACTGTTTTATTTTCTATATCAATAATATTTGATTCACTATAATTATATATTTTTACTTTTTCTTCATTTCCTAACTAAATTTTGAATTCTTGTGCTTCATTTAAAATTCTGACATCTGTTTTTCTTTGAGTTTGAATAACTAAATGTGAAGAGAGAGGATTCTATATAGAATATTCATAAGGATGATCAATTAATTCTTCATCATTAATTTACAAATCTTTAATAATTGGTATAACTGTGTCAACTGAACCTACAAGATTATTTCGTTTATTTTCTAATATTTTCTTAAATTTTATTATTTTATATGTTTTTCTTTTGACTATATCATAACTTACTTCATATTATTATAATTTCTAATTATTTTTTAATTATGCTATTTTTTATGCATTTGTTGAAAATTCTTGTTAGAAAAATGAATCTTTAGGAAAGTGAAATTAAAAAATATATTAATTTTATGTTCCATCTAAAATATCATTAGAAATAAATAAATCTGCTTACAAATTATAAAGAGATTTTTCTATTGATAATTAATCAATTATTTTAGGATTAAAATTTAATTACTTGAATAATTCTTTATTTATTCCTTAAATCTTATTTGTTTAATCAATCAATATTATTGG